GACCAAGCCTGGACACATGGTGCTGTGACTTTCTTACTACAGCACAGGGCTCTGTGGAAGCTAAGGGGCTGGTGCCTGGGGTTTGCTTCTTCATTTTCTAGGAGAGTGACTTTCCTTTTCTGTGACAACAAATGAATCTTCAAATTCAGAATCAATGTTCCATTTTTTATCTATTTTTTTTTTTTTGTTAACAAGGTGAGCTGTTCTACAAGCACTGGATGAATGGCACCCTTACCTGGACAGGAAGACGCTCTTTGTCCTCTGCTTCCTGGTGCTGTGTTTTGTAAAATGGTGAGGGAATTCTGCTTCTTAGCAAAATCATCTCTCTAAACAGAAAAAGACTGTGGCTTTGCTAAATCTGAATCCCTTTCTGCAAAGAATAATTTAGGGGCTCATCCCATTTGACAAATCGCCTTCTAAACACATAAGAATGCAATGTGAAGACTAGCAATCAAACTGCTGCTTTACTTTTTAATTCTTTAGCGATAGCTGTGCTGTGGAAATGCCACAGATCACACAACCAGACTCTCACAGAGGAAAAACACTTGCTCACTATCATAAATAGTACTTTTAAAGGCATTACTTTGTCAGTAAAGTCTACGCACATTAGTTCTTGCTGATTGGACAAATAAAATGATCAAATGAAAATACACTTTTAGGTTATTATAAACCACAGTAAGTTATTTTAAGAACAGAAATTCCATTATCAGCTCCCAGAGGATGCAATGCAAGTCAACGAAGGACATTCGTCGCATAGACACCATACCACACAGGTACAGAGCCTGATTCTCTGTTATTTCTGGGTTCTTAAGCAAAGAAAAACAGGAATGATAAAAAGCATGTGAAATGTTGCTTTCAAAAATAACCACAAAAGTAGTTTAGAATGCACAGAATATTTTGGATTAAATCACGGTGGACAATCTTCTAAGATCTTTCTGAATGAAACTTGACCAGGAAATGAACTCAGGCAGTCGCAGCAGCCCAAAGAGGCTCAGAGTGTAGACCTCCCTGGCTTTAAAGGAAAGTGTGTAGTCACTCCCAGGAGGTGGCATGGAATCTGTTTGTTTCAAACTGATGGTCTATTTAGGAAGAATTCTAGCTCACAGGAGGCAGTGAGAAAACATAATCCTCCACATGAAACCCTTTCTAAAGACTGTGTCCAACACTTTAAGTACACTGCTGGATTTTTACTGCATTTTAATAATAAGACGCCTCAAGACTATTAGAATAAACGTCTATGCATAGGAGCAACAAACAGCACAAAGCCTTTCCAGCTCTGCCTCTCCCAGAAAGCACTGTGTACACCCACTGATGGAGGGTGCACTTTGCCCTGCGTCTTCCTATGTGAGTCTCACCGTCTCAGGTAAAAACTTTCTCATTATCTTATTAACAAAAGTATGCCATTCAACAGCCTTTGGGGTTTGTGTTTAGATTGAGGCACATATAAGTAGTTAATGATTTTACTTAACTGAAAACCCCAGAATGAAGGGCCTGCACCTCACTTCTCACCTCCTAAAGTTCTGGGCTTCATCAGTGAACTAACTCCCCACCCACCCTGGTCTTGGCACCTTTTGTGCTCTGCTTCATTAGATGGACTACAATCACTCCTTGGCGTTAAGAGGACTTTTAAAAACAGGCATACCCAGATTATTGACTTCCCCTGGCCCAACCCCAAAAGGAGACTATTTTCTGTATTAGAAAAAGAACTCCAGACTATAATTAAAATTAGAAGTTATTCGAAAGAAACACTGGGGATGTTTAGAGAACACTGAAATGAGATGGGTTAAATGCATATTATTAGAAAACAGATTTGATGAGAAGTGCTTCACCATCTCAGGGCTCTGCATTTCTTCAAGCCAGGGGTGGATCCATCATAACAGCAACCACGGAGGCTCAGGATTTGCTTAGCAAAACGAATTCATCAATTCCCCTTCTCCCACCATAAATAAAACAAATTAGGGTTATAGACAGAAAAGGAAGAGCATCTAGCCACTGTGAACCATCTGCTGTGATACTGCAGTGTACAGAACACCATGGAATCAAACACAGAACCTCTTTCTTCTTTCACATTTCCAGTGTTTTCCTTCTCTCTGAAGGGGGGGGCCAACAATAAAAGATGTAACCTTTTGCTATCACAAAACAGATGCAGAGATTGCCCTGGGGATAGCAAACTGCAGTGTTAGGAAACAAGCACAGACAAGCCCAAGTTGAACTTCAGAGGCAGGTGGCAGCTGAACTGGGAATCCTGGGACATATATCCAAACTACCCAAGCACGTTATTTTGAATGTAAAACATAGGGCTCTTGGCACTTGAAAAGTCAACCAAGTGGCTGCTTTTAAGCAGTAGGAAAGGCAGCACCCAGCACAAGTCCCTAAGAGACATGAGCTCAGCTGGAAGCACCATGAGGTGCAGCAAGGCCAGCTGCACACCAGCCTCACCAGAGGCACCTGCTCCATCCATGCTCCCTCCTCCCCAGCAGCAAGCAAACAGAATCTCAGCCCTAAAAGACAGAGCCATGGAAATTCCTACACCACCTGCTCCAGTGCTCAAGCACGCAACTGCCTGAGACCCATGGGAGAAAAGACTTCTCGGAATCCTTTATACTTTAAACAAGTTATCTTATGTGTCCATAGATAGTAGCACACACATTCAAGGGAATTATCTTAAAAAACCACAGGCTCCAAATCAATCCATTTCTCAGAAAATACCTAAGGTAAGGGCATCAACTGAAAGCCTTAAGACAATGTTACTGTACCACCAAAGCTCTGTCTTCTTGCACTGCCATGGCAGTGCTGACAACCAGGACCTTGGAACTATCCCCCAACCCCACCTAGTCAGTCACACCACTGCCTGACCTGGAGTCTGCCCTGGCGAATGAAGGGTAATAGAAGCTGAACTTGTCTCCATGTGTGCACAAGAGGGAAGTGAGTCTTTCAGGAAAGACACTCAGGTACCCACCTCAATTTCCATTAAACATAGATAACTGAAAAATAAGACAAGTAAGTAGATAGAGAGACACTAAATCCTGGAGCTTGCTAAGGCATGAAACAATACTCTCGTCATAGCACTCACTCACTGAATGCACCTTATTTCTACCGTTGGTGCCCTGGTTTTCAGCCCACGTGCCAAACCTGCCATGGATGAGACACTCTGCATATAAACTATACCTGTCCCTTCTAGCTCCTTCATGCATGTATCATTTAAATGCTAGGTCCAGATGCTTTGTAAGCCAGTAGAACTTAATCTCAAGACCTTGAAAGTGTCCTGATGTAAGCAATATTCTTATTTTGATCAAAATCTACTTTGTATAAGGTTTTGCATAGAGAGCATCTATTATCTTGAACTGCACCGTCCAATAAGGTAGTCACCAGCCACACATGTCTGCTGAAATCTAACGAAAGTATAAAATTCAACTCCACCACTAGTCATATTTCAAACACTGAACTGCAGGCATGTGACAAGTGGCTAATATATGCAGCACAGATATGGGCTGTTTTTACCACTCCAAGTGTTCCTGGACAGTGCTGACCTAGACTGTGCAAAGGACCCAAAGGGCCCTCCTTGTAACATCTAGTCAGACTTCAGCATCCATGAATTCAACCACAGATCAAAATATTTGAAAAAAAGTTAGGTCTGTATAGGACAAGTGCCGTCTTTCTATCCTCCTCATTATTCCCTAAATAATACAGCATACAAACTGTCAACACAGCGCTTACACTGTATTGGGTATTCCAAGTAATCTACAAGCATTTTTAGTGTATCAGAGAGACTCTATACAAATACCATGGCATTTTAGGAAAAGAAGCCAATCATATATGGATTTTGTCAACCATGGGGATCCTAGAACCAATTCCTATAAATATTATGGGACTCTGGACTTCCTCCTGCAAATGAGACTGTCGGTATAATTCAGTAATCAGACTTCACTCATTTATCTTTCCTATGGAAGGAGGGTTGGACTATACATAATGGAAATCTCATTAAGATTTCAGCAGAAAAAGAATTCTTCCATCCCTCACCCCGTCAAGTCACAACTGTTGGGCCATTTGAAGAAGTTTCAGAGGTCTAGTTGTACAGGGCTTCCCATGACCACGGAAAGGACTAGATCACCAGAGAGCACATAAGAGGATTATTTCCCAATTGCCATTCTATGAACCAGCACTAGCCTCAAGCAATTTTTCCCCCATCTCTAAAATTTATTGCCAGACTTTAAATCCTGCCTCTCAGGTACTATCTCAAGAACTTCTTCCATCCCTTGTTTCTGAGGGGGAGGGAGAGATAGCTTATTACAAGACCAAGCAGAAATTGTGTGCCTTCCTTCCATGAACACAGGAAAGGATCTAGGCCACACTAGAAAAAAGAATAGTGCTCCTGAAGGCCACTTGACTCACCCCTCCTGAAGCCATGATCAGCAAGGAGGCAGAGACATTTGTTTACAGAAGCAAGTATCCTGAGCTCCTCCCCAGTACCTTATACATGTCATCCCTAAGATCTAGATCTCTAGAAAAGAATAGGCCAGCTCCCAGCCGGTCCTGGGCAGCTACCAGGGCAGCTGGCAATGGAAGGCAAAGAAAGCACAGAGCATCTGTCAGGTTTGTACCAGAACAAAGAAGTGAGGAAGTAGCAGAGGCCACACCTCTGCACCTGCTGCCTCCAGTGACCACCCTAACAGGACAGGTGATAGGCCTCTGGTCAACAGTCCACTTCCTTAAACCCTTAGGCCCCTCAAATGAGGATGCTTCATTTCAAATATGCCCAAACCAGGGACAGCATCCTAGGCCTTGACCCACTGACACTCAAGCTGTGTTTCTGGGCCTGCATAAGGAAAGCACACGTTCTCCTCCCTGGTTGTTGTTCACCGTAGCTAGCCCATGCCTCAATGTAGGAACACTAAATGGCTGGGAACGGAGGACTTTCTTCTTTCACTGGGAGAACTTGGTTTAATGACGATAAGATGGTCTCAATCACAAATTACATAGAATTTCTGATTAGGAGAGTCTTCACTATACTTTCAGGGATCATTTCTATAGTTCGTAACTAGAGAAGTTTCTCTGACTGTGTAGAGTACCCGAATCCACGAGGACGAGACATAGCGTTCCCTTCTGAGCGTGAAGCTGGCTTTTGGTGTTGCTGTTTTCCGCAACTGCCACTTGCCATTGATGATCGTTCTTCTCTTCCCCTGGGATCCTTGAGCAATTAAAAAAAAAAAAAAAGAGAGAGTCTTCATACTTTCTCAAGTTAACAGAAAAACAGACTTTCTAATTAATTTAAATTACCATAAATAAAACATTTCATGAAGTGGCAATTCTGTATGAGGCATTGTTTATGCAGAGTTGCCATTTTTTTCTAATAAAATACAAAACTAAAGGGGTGTGTGTGTGTGTGTGAGAGAGAGAGAGAGACAGAGAGAGAGAGAGGGAGAGAGAGAGAGAGACTCTTCCCACATGGATTTCATAAGTGACAGAATATCACTTCTTATTAAGAAATTATATCAACTGAAGTCTTTCAAAATGGCCCATGCTGCCCCACAGCTGTGCACTTTCTTCCTTTAAACTCTCACCTGAGGGTGCAGCGCAAAGGGCACTAAAGAGGGTTTAAAATCAAGTTACTCCTACAAGTCCCCAGAAAGGCTAATCAAACATTACGGAAGACACAGCTTTTTAGCAAACTTTATTCTTAGTATTTTTAAAGCTTAGTTTTCTCCTCTGAAACTGTAAAAGATCAAGCAAATAATGGGTTAAGTCCCAAAAAATTAAGGAGCGACAGCAAATCTGAATGCATGTTTGAAAAAGCCTATAAAATGTTAAAAGCAAAACAGGAAAGCCTGTGTTAATAATGTATAAACCAAAAGAGAGGGGAAAAAAGCTACCCATTTAATGGAATAATGCTTTTCTTCTTGCAGTTAAAATGAAATAAACCATGACTATTAATCTAGTAAGACCATGTAAAAATGTAATTTTTAAACATTTACTAAAAGGGGATAGTTCAGTAACCACTCTAAAAATCAAGGCCTTGTGTACAGCAGCGTTTAAATGCTAAATACCAATCTCCTGTCTGCTGAGGCCATTACCCACCCTGTCACCATAGCAACGCTAACAGTATGCCTGACTTCAAAGACAAAGATGTAATTTCAGACTTCCAGCAGCCAGAGGGAGTGGTAAGAATATTCTACCGAGGCAGTGTCAGCTGATGATAAATTATAAAAATATCCAGAAAGGTTATGAGGCGGACTGTACCACATATTCTCATATTCCTGGGGGAAGACAAGCACACCAGGAGAGCAAACAAAAAGTGAAACAAGAAAGAATCTCAGTGGAGCCCAGTTTTTTTTCTCACTTTATACAATTCAGAGTTCTGCCACCCCCGACTCCTCCCAGGAGAAAATAAAAATTGTTCCTCCCTTCTCCTTTATCTCCCTCAAATTAGGAATGACTGAAGATCTGCATGAATGTTCCTAGGACTTGCAAAACCACTTCTGCGAATGCTACTTCACCTTTGTGACACTCCTGCATCTGCAGACAAGCAAGCCTTTAAGTGCCAGGAGCTGGGCCATAGCAGGGTGCATCTGTGCTGGCTCTGGAGAGCACCAGTCCCGCGCGTCTGCTGCTTCTCTTTCCAACCACTCCCTCTCGCCCAGCGCACTCCAAGGGAAAACATGGAAAGAGATTTGCCCGTTTGTAAATTTGAGACTTTTTAAAAAGCACTGCACATAAATCAGACTGGCCTAACAGTTATGCAGCTGAACCATTCTTAAGCAAAAGTCCCAGTGTTGAATATGTCCCCCAAAGTCCTGGACAATCCGTGGTGACAGAAATACAGGATTAAGTTGGAGTCATTTTGAAAATTCTCTACAAGAACTAACAGGGCTGCCTTCTACTACAGATTTATACTATTGTTTTGTAAGAATAAGCACAGCATATGCTGAGTTCTCTTTCTATTACATTCAGTTGTATGGTTTTGATCCTAGATTAAAGGCTGGTTTCCTCACAAAAGCAGGAGCAGCAAAGAGGTGCCACTCTCACAGTCCTGAAGGACAGACTGGGCCTCCACCCTGGAGAAAGAGCTATGGATTCCCATCATGCTGTTGTCACCTGTCCCCGTAGCCTCACTGGCCAGCTCCCCATATCATCTCTCTGTAAGCATGAGGCACAGAAACTGAAATACACCTGAAGCCGAGTTTCTCCTTTGAGTAGTCCTAGGAGTGGAGACAGCGAAGTCAGGCCAGCTTAGCATTCTCTAAGAGAAATGAACAAGTGAGGTTTGTATTTTTTCTCCTCAGGAAGAGAGCACCCATTTCATAAGGGACCCAAATGTGGAGGATTCTGAAAAATCAAGTGCAGAGATCTTGCCACTGATACAGAATGCTTGCACGTGAAGCCCTAGCCACCACCCATCTCACCAATTAATTTTTGAGCCCTAATCTTAAAAGCAAAGGATGAGGATCTCTAAAACACAATAGAAAAATGCCAACTCACAAAAAGCAGTGTCACCCCTACATCTACTCTCAAAAGAGAAAGCAGGTTTCTAAATCTAAAGCCACTTCACAATCCAGTCCTTCTCTAGCCAGCCAGGTTTTCACTCTTACGTTTCATGATTACAAGGTAACTTTTTAAAAATCGCTGTGAAATCAAAAGGAGCTCAATAAACCGATCCTTTGGACACAAAAGCTAGATTTATAATTTTGACAGTTAAAAGAGTTAAGCAAGTTCTAGAAAAAATAGCCAATCAATCATTCATTTATGTGACAGGGCCTAATTTAGGCCCTGGATAATCATCCCAAATAACATGAAATAACTTTCTTAACAGTGCATTAACAGGCCTGTATTTTGGCACCATTATTCATTATTTTCATAGGAGTATTTTATGTTTTTTTATAGAACATTTCCTTTCACCAAATCACAGAAGAAGGTGATATTCCTTCCTGGAGAAATAATGTAATTTTGCTTTTTTATTAAAAATTATACAACCTCAAATTTCCCTCTTTATCATGGGAGCTGGGAATGCAGTCTTAAATCTAATAGCCATTTGTGGTAACCACATTATTGTGGCTTGCTTTTCTAGTTTTTAGTTTTTTAAAAAAAACAATCCGTAATCTGCTTGGAGCAGCCTTTGTTGACACAAATATCTGACTTCAGGTCATCTCAGGTCCTATTAGAAGCCGGGAGGGTAACCCATCCTACAAAAACATCACAGGAACAGAGGCCATCTCTCACAGCAGGACTCTTTCCATTTACTGTCTATGGAGTCTATACAAAAATAAACACATTTATTCATAATTTTCAGGAAAAAAATTATGAAAGGAAAATTCTTCATTCAAGTCACTTTTAAATCCTTTTGTACAGAAAATGATGCTTAAACTCAGATCAATGCTAGACAAGGTGGTGCACACCTTTAATCCCAGGACTTCAGAGGCAGAGACAGGCGGACCTCTGAATTTTAGGCCAGCCTGGTCTACATAGCAAGTTCCAGGCCAGCCAGGGCTACGTAGTGAGACCTTGTCTCAAAACAAAAACAACCCCAAAAAAGAAACTAAAAGAAAGTTTTTTTAACTTAAACTTGGTTCACACTTTATATTAGAATGGTATGGAATGGAAAACAATCCAGAGACTAAGATGCATTCACACTTCATGTTTCTACTGTTTCAATGAAAACTTAGGTTTATAGATAAATTCAAATGTCAAGCTGCGCAGGTGAGTCGGATGGACCAAGGACACGGCAGGACAGTCGTTAAGAACACTGAGAAGAGGCATACATTCGTCTGCTTCATGCTCATATTCATTTCCTCTCTAACTCCCCACGAACCTTCCCTTGGCTCTAAGGAAGGGCCAATAAATAAAACTGAAAGAGCGACACTAGAAAGCAGGAGGAGGAGAACCCAAAGCGGTCATACCCCCAAGACACTCCAATGTAGCCAGTTTAACTACCTTGTCTCAACAACTGGGATGACAAACAGGGAAAGCCCAGATGAGTGAGTTTCCTATATTATTATAATTATGTATACATATCCTCTTCACCTCACCCCCCCCCCAGTATATGTGTATTCACACACCCCACAGAACTGTATGAGAAGGGATTTCATATAGCCTGACCTGGCTCTGAACTCACTCTGTAGTTATGGTCTGACTCCCCAACTGTAGCCTTCCCCCTACGTGGGGTCCAGTGGACTACCTACCCTAACAGGCCCTGAAAGCTACGCAAAACTAGGGCATGACATTGAGACATACCAACACATATGTAAGGAACACACAAGAGATTTTTATATGTGCTGTTTCAAGTATGTGCAAGTGTGTATGGTCAGGTGGGCCTTGGACTCCCTGTTAATTAAACAACAAGCCTGCTGCTTCCGAATCCACAGTAGGCATGGCTAAGGCCAGCTTAGACACACATTCAAAACTCTAATAAACCCCAGATGAACCAGAATATATAAAAGATGGCTAGGAACTTAGGATCTTGTTTTCATCTATAGAAACCAGCAAATGCCAGTGAAGCAGCCAAAGAGTAAAAGGAATGAAACCCGCAGGAGTCAGGAGAATCCCTGTGGCTGTTACTTGTCATCCAGGTATCCCCCAAGTGCATGCACATGGACAGTTGTTCTTCCCCCAAATCCCAGCACTGAGCACAGGAATGAAGCCACATTAAGATCTGGACAGAAAGGCTATGGACTGAATTTGATGGAGGCATCAATGCTCTCAGTCTTTCAAACAACCAAGGCCTCCTCAAAACAGCAAAATGGGCTATGAACTCATATGTGCTTGAAGGGGAAATTCTGTAGCAACATGTAAATGTTTAGGTCAAGATAAAATGAGAAAGTATGTTGAAGTGTGTCAAATAACATGAGTCGAAAGAATAGGTATTTCTTGTTGAGTTCTTACTGTGAAATGTGTCACAGTAAAAATAAATAAATAAATAAATAAACATTGCACTCAGGAGGCAGAGGCAGGCGGACCTCTGTGAGTTCAAAGACAGCTGGGGTTACAGGGGGACCCTGCCTCAAAAAAACCAAAAAACCAAACCAAACCAAACAAAACAAAACACCAGACGTTAAGCAGAGCACAGTGACCAGGCCTATGGTTTTGGCAGTAGGGAGGTTGAGGCCGGACAGCCATGAGTTTGAAGCCAGTCTGGGCTGCACAGTGAGATCCTGTCTCAAATATAATATATTTATAATACTAATAATTAATGAAATAATTAAATTTTATTTATCTTTTGTTATTCTTACAT